TGAAATACATTTTATCACCAAAAATTTGTCTTTAAAAAAATAAAAAAATAAATAATATAAACTAGAAAGAAAACAAAAATAATAGTATATTACATACAAAGCGGAGAACTACTCTATTACAGCCGAGGGTCAATGTAGATTGTTGCTAGGCAATATAACAAGTTGGTTGAATCTGACAATTAGATAATTATTTTGCCAGTTACATATTGAACGGCACTTTTAATAATAAAATTGTCTTTATTAACAAATATATCTGACAGTTAACTTGAATGTACCCCACCAGAACTGCAAGTATCTAAAAAGCAGGGAGAGATACGAAAACATTTCCGAAGCATATAGTAAGTGACACAAGCCGGGTAAGTGAAGTAGGGATTCCCAATCGACATATTACTAACCGATTGTGAGTAAAAAGATCTTTATGTCGATAAAAATAATTCCCGAAATTGTCACACAAATGGTTACAGCTCTTAATAAATTTACCTTGTATAAAAGATTAATCTCTCCAATAAAACTTTACATTTCACAATACGTATCTATTTGGCATGGATTTTAATATTCGTAAAAAGGCATTGTCAAACCACCACTATAGAAAAATTTAAGCATCTGAATGTTTAACAAAAAATAATGTACACAAATCGGACATTTTTCTGTACAAACGAAACTTCAGTACCAAATAGACACGTTTCAACGCATTCGATTTCATTTTGGGAATTATTGGGATCTGAAATTAAGATAGCATCGCCGTCTGTAGAATGATACACTGAATTATATACGTAGAATTATATATAAAATTGTAAATAATTTATATTTTTCATTGACATAGGCTTACTTGTTCTGTAGTATCAGATACGTACAGAGTTACTTGCAAATCACTTCTTTTTAAACATAAGATACTGACAGTAACAAATATATGTGTGTGAATTTAAAAACTTCCCATTGGCAATATCTCCTAATAAAAAAGAATATCAAAAAGTGTTTAATACAGGCAAATTATTCTAAAAGAGACAATTATTTATTTTAAAAATAGTTTATTTATTTTAAAAATAGTTTATTTATTTAAAACAGTTTATCTATAATTTATTTTCTCTACGTACTAAATAATTTATTTTTACCGGTCCTTGTTTTTAATTTTTCCGATCGCTGTTTGTCCGATCGCTGTCTGTCTTGATTTCGTTTCTATGGCAACAACGTTCCGATTTATTGCCAAGTGAAAGTTCGCCGATTTTTAATTTGTTGTTTATGACAAACTTGTTTTTGCAAATTTAAGAATATGGATTCAGATTTTGAATTATCTGACATAGAAAATGAAAATTTGGTTAGTTAATGCAGTTGAATCCACTGCCTAGTTTTAGTATTATTTGTTATTAAATAAATTAATTATTAAATAAAATAAATAATTGAGTTTACATCGAAGTGTCGGTCTTAAAAAAAATATTGTACATCACGCGACCGAAAATTAGTGTCAAGCAGATATCTCCAAGCTTCCAGGTCTCACCTACGGCTCGCCCTGGAATCTGCTTGTCTCGGCCTGCAACACACTACTTTCTGGTTTTGTAACGTAAATTACTATTACCGGTCCCTAACGTCTACTTTTCGGTCTTGACCGGTAAAACGTTATTTTCTGAACGAAAAATAGTTCAGAAACAGTACATTTTCTTGTCGGTCTTATCATGTTCGACATTTCACATTATTTTTATTTTCTTGGCTATCTGCAATGTTTTTCGAATGACAACCATCTGGTCTCTTATTTTTCAATAATATTACTGTTATTGATTAAGCTACACTTCCTTTTGCAAATCTTTACAGCATTTTCCATATGGAAAGAAGATCCAAGGAAGCACGAAGAGTGGAAGCTATATATAGGATCGCCGTTGCTACGCTGTACGCAGAACGTTCACACAAACCAAGCAGAACTTATCTACAGAAAATGTTATATATTGTATTCTTTTATTAATCTTTTTTTTATACTAAAAATAAATATTTTTCAAATTAACCCTCAGAAACTCCTTGAAGCTTTTAGAAGAATTTACTGGTCGACCATCATGGATCACTAGAAAAGGCAACCATATAGGCAAAAGTTACATGGAACTGCCCACAAGAAGGAATACTAGCTCCAATGCTGTGATCAATTCTAGTGGACGATTTACTCAAAACATTATCCAAAGAAGGCTACCAGCGCCTAGGATACGCGGACGACTTAGCAATTATCGTCAAAGGATGATTTGCAGGCACAGTCTCTGAGCGATCTTAAACAGCTCCAAACACAAGGAACAAATGGTGCAAAAAGGAACAATTGTCCATTAACGCCCAAAAAACAACAGTTGTACCAATCACTTAAAGGACTAAGACCACTGACACTAAACAACATTGTTATTTCATTTGTCACAGATGCCAAATACATCAGAGTTATATTTGACCAAAGCTACAATAGCTCTCGTAAGCTGTAGAAGAATATGTGGAAAAAACTGATGCATAAACCCCAAAACGACCTTGTGGTTATACACAAGGGTGATAAGACCCATGATAATCTAAGGAGCAGTAACGTGAGCAACCAACATAACACAGGCAAGTGCAATAATTTTAGTAACATTTTTGTTTATTTTTATTTAGTCATTAAATTGTTTTAGATTATGCATTAAATTACTATTAAAATTAGCTTTCAAATAAGTGTTCATACTTTACAATACGTAACAGTTTCTTGTCCCGCTAGAGAGCGCTAAAATCAAAAGTACCGCAGTTATCAGTCATATTACCTAATTCTAAGGACAACCCTGTTTTTTCTAGCTTTTTCAGGGGACAAAAACCATAACTCAAACTCGACATATCCTTTTACAAATTCCCATTACCGATTCCAAAACAATCCTAATCCCTCAATAATATCCCATGGTAAGGAGTTAGGGCTGCAATATTTGATCATTTTTTATCAGAATAGGGGTAGATATAGGTAGACAAGTCCGGTCGGACTCTAGACCGGCATGAAAGGAGAAGATCCCGGTAGTGTTGATTATACTATTTCATATTCTGAATTTGTAGATATTTTAACTATGTAAATAAAATCCTTGTTACTGTTACCTAATTCTACATAAAATTACCTTTTCAATAATATGTCATACTTTGTACATCCTCTAGTTAAAATTGTATTGGTTAGTGTGACAGAGGGGAAAGGAATGAAGTATGACCTTTGAGATTATGATATAAATAATGGAATCAAAATCTACCCGTTTCAAGCAAGTTTTGATTCTTTTTATAAGAAGACATTGTTCAATGGCAACTTTTTAAATTGACACCCTGTAAATTTTAGATAAAAAATAAAAGAAATGAAAAATTCATTGATTCTTATTAATTGCCCTTTTTCAGATATATGTATTTACTGTAGTTTTAAAAAGTATCACACTTTTAACGTTTTCATGCAACTAATAGCTATTTTTCTAATTTTGAGATATTAGGTGTCATTTTTTGTAATCGTAGCAAGTGTCAAAATGATCTACTTTGTGCCACCAATTTCATAATGTTGAACATTAAGAAATTGGTTACGAAAAATTCGTTGTTACCAGTTGCGAAAAGAAAACAAAAAAATAACCTTTTTTTGTTTTAAAATCAATATGTACATTATTGAAAGTTTATATCAAAGAAGAGCAGGTTGAAATATAATTTGGTTAAACGTACAACCTAGTAATAATGTTTTTTGGTCCTTATTTTCCATTTTAAATCAGCACATAATAATTAAAACACAATACACGATAAAATAACCCACAAACTATATAAACACACAAGTCATTGAGAATAAATTCATGATTTTCTATTTGTCAATGAAATGAATGAAGTTATGCATATGCAACTATCAATACAAAAAAGTAATAGTGGTAGCATAGATGTCAGTAATTTTTTTACCTAAACACAATTTTATAAATAATATAGTCAAAATTAGAAAAAATATTGTATGCAACACGTTACGAAATGCCGTTTTGTGTAATTCGTCTATGTTTTGGGACCTTACTCGGCTCGTCCCGCAAATATTCACTCGTTACATAAAACAAGGCATTTTATAACTGGTTGTATAAAAAACTATTTTATTTTTTTAATCTTGCACTTGTTCGACGAACATTGACGCACACAACAAAATAAGGATAAACCTCCCCACAACGTTTCGCTCCAAATTCGTTTAAAAACCTTCAGTTAAGTTAACCGAGTGTTTTAAGAATATCGATTTACTCTAATGTACAACTTTTTACCGGACTTTAGAGTATTTATTCATAATGTCGTGCAAACCATTTTCGAACAGTTTGGCCTAATATCTGCCTTATTTGGGCCTCTCTCTTATCGCCTTCACTTTTCCGATTACCAAGAATATTAGATATAATAAGTCAATCCTCGAAACACGAGGAGAAGATAGAGACATCAATTTTGGTAAATGCGCTATTCTAGAAAATGAGATATTACTTTTTATGTTGTCTTTATGCCAAATCACACACATAGGACACTATTAAATATTTTAAAATGGTTTCATATTGTGCAAACAAAAATTGTAAAAATATTAGGTTAGAGTATAGCGGGAAAAAAATTAATGGAAATACACGCGACGTAGTTGAATCCGTCATCCGTTCCAAAAGCCATACTTTAAACTGCCACCCGAGAAGTGTTAAATTATTTTTCACGCCAACCGTCGGACACGCTAGTTTTGGAACAAGCCAAAGGGTGTATCCTCAACTGTCATATGTCATTCCCCTTCCCTGCATCACTCTAACCAATACACTTTTATTAATGAAAGTACCAAGTATGGCACACCATTGAAAAGATAATTTTATGTAGAATTTAGCAATATGACTAATGGATTGCGTTATTTTTGATTTTAGCTTTCTTGTAAAATAATTTATTTCAAACGAACCACTTGTTAAACTAATTTACATGCCTATGCGTAATAACTTGTATTCACAACAGGGGATGCATCGTTTTTTTTTTCTCAGATCCCAATAATCGGAATATCAAAGCAAAAAACTCACCTCCATCAAAGCCTTTTTCTCGCTCTTCTCCTTATTATTATTGTTTTGTAAAAGTTTAATCACGTTTTTGGCACCTTCAACCACAGCTGCTTCGACTCTGAGTCTGTGTTTCAAATCTTCTATTCTATCGTCTAAAATGGGCTCCAATTCCCCGTGGGACAGGTCCCCGTTGTCGGTCAGGTCCTGGATGGAACCCCGCGACTTCGAATCGATGTCATGTTTTAACTGAAACGGAAATAGGCATGTTAATAAAAGGCGAAAAGTGGTTACTATTTTTAGGATCCCTTCACTGAGTTAGGAAAGGTGCTGCTGGCAAACATACAAAACCATCTATGGCTTAAGATCTTCAGCCATGTGCGTGAACGAAAGTAGAAAATAGAAGGAAAAAAAATGAAATATATCAAATTCGAGAGACGCTAAATTGATAGTATGACCCCTTACAATACAAATTCGAGAGGTTAAAAAAAAAAACGGAGAAACAATTGGGTTTTAAATGAAAGAGCGAAAGATAATGAGAAATACCGAGACGTTGAAAGGTCAGGTGTGTGAAGCACATAGAGGATCTTCACATTGGCAGCCCTGGTTTTTAAGAACCATTCCATGTCGCCTTTTGATTAGTTTTTGCCAATTTTTTAATCAATTTTATGTAAAAATTTTGGATCCTTTGCCCCTTAAGCCTGACCATGTAAATATATTTGATCCCTTTATTCTTTAAAGCTCTTCATAAAAAAATATTTGGTCAACATTTGACGCTTAAGTCTTACCACGTAAAAATAGTTATCCATTTAATCTCTTAATCCAGTCCCATATCATATTAGTACTTGTGTCGCATAATAAAATAAGCTTCATAAGAAATGCATTGCATTTTAAAAACGCTGATATTTAAAGCACTAGATTATAAAACGAAAATTCTAAAAATCAGTAGTGTTCTCGGCTTGAAGAAATTATAAAGAAAACTGAAAAACATTTTTGGGGAGGTTTTCAGACTTAAGTGATCGGAGACAGTAAGAATTAGGATGACAAACAAAAAAGAATATATATCCGGGAATGTACCTTGGTAATTTTCATTTTGAGATACTCTATTTTCTTCTTGGAGTCTTGCAACATTTGCTGGGCCTCCCACAACAGTTTCTTGTCCTTGCCCGTGATGCTTTGTATCATATTTTCGGCGCCCTGTTTCACCTTCTGCTCGATATTGAGTTGCTTTTCCAAATTTTCTATCCTGCCGTAGAGATTGGCATTGCACTTGTCCATGTTGTGGTTGTTCAATGACGAATAGTTCAACGAATCTAAAAAGAAAATTACAACGAAATGTAACGTAAATAGAAGATGATAATATTAGTTACTACCAACCTCCGTTCGAGGGCACCAAAGACGGCGCCGTCTGGCCCTGCGATAGTATAATCTGCGATTCCAACTCGCTGAGTTCATTCTTCAATTCGGTCAATTTAAAATTCGAGTTTTTCACGATGGTAGCGACGTGACTGAGCGATTTCCTATCGGTCGATACGCCTCTCAGTTTCTCGGCGCCCTCTTTGATCTTCAGCTCCTTCCTGATCTCGCGTCTGATGATTTCCTTCAGTTCCTCGAGCTTGCTGGGCAGCTGCGTGTCCGTCAGGTTGTCGGTGGGAATGCCGTACTTGTGGGACAACTCGTATATCACGGGATGTCTAATGTAATCTCCCTGAAAACAAAAAAGATCGATTTGTCATAGCCCGTATTTTAAATGGGTCATGTGTTCAATGTTCGAGAGGCTTACGGTTTGTCCAACTAGGCATTCTAACGACCTATCAAAATGCTACCCGTGGGTAATAACAGATTATAATATGGCATCCCTATTATGGATCAATAATACATATATACGTAGATATATACAGTGCTTAAAGCGAGTTGTTTTGCGAGCGGCCATACTGCCTCGCAAGTGCTCATTAATCAGAAACGGTTTAGCAAAAATATGTTTTAAAACCAATTTTCAGCCTTTGAATATAGCAAAAAAATAACCTGCATATTTACTTCATAGCATAAGCTTATGTTTATTTTGGAAAAAAATGGATGATTAATCTATATAACTATATATATCATTGACCCTGTTAAATCACCAGGCCTACCTATAATTAGCTTTTATAAGCAGTCATACTTTTTCATTAATAATCTTCATTTACCTTAGAAAAACAAAATTGTATACATACTAAAATAGTTCAATATCAATAAAAAAAAAAAACAAGTAAAATAATATGTTCAATTCCAGATCATCGGTTCAAAGATAAAGTCACCATTTTCCATTTATAGTCTGGAATTCTTTCAGACCATCATAATATGTTTTTTTTTTTTTTTCGATAAACATTTTTAATTTACACTTAAATTTATTAATGGGGAAATTTCTAAGTATTAAATAGTTTTTTTTTTTTCGTTTTATGGCCTAGGTGTATATACCTAATATTCCAGTCTTAGTTTGTGTTTGCCTTCTTCTTCATGTGTGTTCTCTGTAGGCTTTGTTACTGTTTCTCAGCGCCACTTCAGGAACAGCACTGTTAGTTAGAACCCAACAGTGAATGGTCGAGTGGGGAATTCTACTATGCATTAGAATTAATATATTCTTTTTAATTAAATAAAAATTCCTGTCGCCGGTGGGAGTAGATCCAAAGAACTATCGATCTCAAAGTCATGACTCTAACCACTGGGCCAACCCACCCCTATTAAATAGTTTAATTATTATATTTCCCTGTTCTCTTCAATCTGTATCGTACAGGTATTAAATTTTACTATTATTGTAGAATCGTCGAGAAAAATCATGGAGGTAGGCTGTGAAATCTAATGTTTTAGCCACTTCCACGGAATGACCTTTTGACCTTGAAATTGAAACTGAAAGTTTGTTTCAAATTTGTCAAAACTTTTAATGGGTTTGTTTTGGTTCAAACAGAACCGCCAATTCCAGTTCTTAAATACAGTTGACGAACTCACTTTTTAAGAATACGTCGCGATAATAATCAACCCATTGAGCTAAACGAGTGTAATTCACCGATTCTGAATTAGTTCGTGAAAGAACCAAAACAAGCTTATTACGTGCACTACAAGATATTTGGGTAAAATAATAGGTATTTGTGTATTATTAGCGAAAAGTGATACTTTGTCGAAAGCGGCAACGAACTTTTCGCTCAAAATAAACACAAGATGTTTTCTACGATCACACTATTATAAGAAATACGATATAAAAACTGTTGTCCTAAGTAGTATATAACATGTTGCCTATATCTACGTTAATCATTAAAAACGAAGTTGATATTCAAAGTCAATGTTAACTTGGATAATAAAACAAAAAACATCGAACTACGTACAAATAACGTGAAAATCATTTATTAAAAAGAAATATTATATTAGAGAGTTATTGCAAGTTCACTTAAGGTCAGTCACTATTAGTGACGCTCTTATTTTGACATCTGAGCATGTGCAGATCACTAATTTTAATAAAAATTGTGCCTGTCCTTAATAGAGAGATATTGCAAATTTCTATAAAGCCAGCCACTAATAATGACATCGTAATTAGAGTCAAATAAATTCCATGCTAAAATCAGACTTATTGTAAACCTGAAATTTTGACATTAGAATCCTCGTCCTTATACTTATTTCTAACCTTATTTTAATAACTTTAAATTATAGTTCATCTTTTTTGTTGTCTATGATAGTACATAATATTACAGTTCATCAAATTTCTAGAGGCTTTCGACGGCTAGACAGAGAAAGCACTACTGACAGGCATCCCGACGGATTTACGCAATGAAAGTACACTCTGCGCATCAAGTATTTCACTATTTCATTCAGACGTAAATGTCAGATGTAAATTTCGCTAAAACATTTCTTTTATTTTCGTTTGTGTTTTTTGCTCATTACAGTTTAATAGAACCTAAGTATGGAGTTTAATAGCAAATTAAGAGGCCGCGTGATTAACAGTCAATCTCGCGAAATAATAGCCAATGTTATAGAGTTTATGAGAAGAGAAGGAAACTTTAATTCACCTTCAATACCATTTAAAAATGTAAATGATCGTGTTGCTGCAGCCACAGGAGTATCTAAAAACACTGTCGTCCGCATTTCTGGAGAGAAAAAAAGAATCGATAACCGTGAGATATCGGAATTTTCATCACCAAGAAAAATCATTAAAAAACCAAAAACAGTTAATGATATAGATGAAGCTGCACAAGAATCAAATTTTATTTTTTTATTATTAGATAGCTATTTTTGTTTCTGAGTTGTGTTCATTTACAGGCTCAATTTTTTCCGTTTCTCCTTTTTGATTTTATATGGGGTTTCAAGTTGTTTTTGACTTATTTCGACGTAAATCACAACAACACACTTTTTTAATAAAGCAAACAAGTGTTAAGAGGTATATGTACGTGTAAACTACAATTACAAAAAATTGATATGAAACCCATGAAACCACCAACAAAAATGTAAAGCTAGCTTCCGTACTAGAACATGGTGTCATTCGTTGAGATAATTTATCGTTTTGTTTAACAGATCAAGAAATGTAAATATTCCCCTGTTATTTTTTATAATATTATAAGAGAAATAAATTTTTTTCTAAATAGTATAGTTTATTATTTTGTAGAAAAACAAAATTTCGAAAATTTTAGTAATGTTTCAGAAACAACCGTTATTAATAATAGGTACCATTTTCCTTAATAAGGTAGAAATTAAATATAAACTATTTCCACGATTTACAAAGGCCTACAAAAAAATTATAGGTATTTTCCGCTATCCTGTAAAATTTATATTTTCTGACTCAATTTCAAAAGGTTGAAGGAATTCCAAAACACCTTTTATGGCATAATAATTATTTTTAATTCTACATACTATCTTTAGCTGCTTTTAAAAACGTTCTAAGAAAGTCCAATCAGACCAATTTAATCCCTAAACTATTCCACACTTTTAAAATTTAATTACCTAAAAATATTAAAAACTATTTAAAATAACTTGTTTAGCAGACTGTACAATAGCTATCTTAGTCACACGTAGCGCGTTCTCTGTCTGGGCGTCGAACACCTCTAGAAATTTGATGAACTGTAAAGAGGCATTAGAAATTATAATTTTAGAAGGGTTAAATGACGATTATATTAAAATATTTAATATTAAAAAACTTCTAACGGATACGAATGTCGGCGAGCGCATCCGAAAGCTATAAAGTCGTCACTATCTGCTGCCCTTAAACATCCACAATTAAGGACAGGCACAATCCTTAATAAAGTCAGTTTTAGAACATAAACATCTGCGCACGCTTAGATGTCAAAATAAGAGCAGCACTAATAGTGACTGACCTTAGGTGAACTTGCAATAACTCTCTTATTAAGGACAGGCACAATCTTTATTAAAGTTAGTGATCTGCGCATGCTCAGATGTCAAAATAAGAGCGGCACTAATAGTGACAGATCTTAACGAGACTTGCAATAACTCTCTATTATATCTAATTTAAATTAGGAGAGCAACAAAGCTGTCAAGTTTTCCGCTCGGGAACGACAAAGCTGTCACTTAATGTCAGTTCGCGAAAAACGTCAACTTTGCAGTTGTATTTCGAAGCGTAAAAGCCTACTTTGGATAGTTATCGTAGAAAAACAATATTATTGATACAGTAAGTGGTGTCACAATCTAAATTAAATTCTAAAACCGGAGGTAATTCAAAATTAGCCTATGCAGAAGGGCACCAAAACGAGATATTGGTACCATTACAGAGCGTAACGTGCACTATAATACGACCGCAAAATCCAAAAAGTCCCTTACAAGTTACGTAAATGTATTATTTTAATCATTTAAAAACCACTGCGAAAAATGCTGTACTTTTTATGTTTACACTACGAAATTAGCTAAACATTCTTTTAAAACAAAAAAGTTAACTCTTTGTTAAAATGTGTGTAGATCATAACAAAACCTCAACCATATTTTTCCGTCGACTGCTAAACCAACAAACTCAAAGAAATATCAAAAAAATAAATTAAAATGGTCAGAGCTATTTGATTTATCGTCGGCTATCGATGTCTCCTTCCACATCGTATATACCATCTTAGTTGCATATATGATTGTAAACATATATGTATCTCTATCGTACTACGACACTAACCTCAACCCGGCCTTATTTTATGTAGACAAAACTATTATAATTCTAATAATGTTTTGTACATGTATCCAAATTGTACAGATCCAACATAACTTTAAGCAAAAAGGGTCCAATCTCGGTCAGTAGTGGGGTTGCAGGTGGTTAAAGTGTTTATTTACGCAAACATTGATCAAAACTCGATCAAAAGTCAAGAGATGTAAAAGTTAGATAACTAGTTAAAAAAGTAAACTAATCAAATTTCATCAGTAGCGTGTGACTGAAAATGTATTATTTTTATCAATTTTGAACCACCTGTAACTTTGCTACTGATTGAGATCCGATCATTGTTAATATGAACATTTGTGTTTAAAATTATGAAATTTATAACTTGTCTCTATTTTAGATAATTTTGGACACCCTGTATATGACCTTTAAAATAGGAACCTCGAAATAGCGTCGTCATATATAGTTCCTTGACAGTTGTTATTGATCGGAGCATTATTTTTTATTTTTCTTGATGGCTCGTCAAATTCTTAGGCCCGTATTTATAAACAGATCTCAGCTGAGTCGGACTTGGCTAAGTCGTCCTTAAACGAAAA